GAGGCCGTAGCATAGATATCCCTCAGATAGTGCTGAGGTTACATAAAGTATAATATTTAAGATACACTTTTGAAATGTATTGTGCTAACACTCAGACAACCTGATCTTAGATTACTTAAATACCTGTTTTTATATGTTAATATTTTTTATTATGAAATACTATCTAATAATAATGAGTCATTATTGTGAGTTAGTATCTCATTATATTGACTTTAGAATCTATTTTTCCCTAGTGGCAGGATTGAGCTTCCACATTAAATTATAGTAATTTCTGAAAATATCTGAAAAATATTTCTAACCATTCAACATTAATACAACATATAGTTATGTTGTGGCTAACGTTCAACCAAAACTCTTTTAATTCACTGAGCTACTTGTAGCTACTGTGAAGAATTGAGAGTGTACACACCTAGCCTCCCAGCAAGTTCTGGCGCATGTTCTAGGTCACTGTTGGCCGTTCTTGATCCACTTCTGGAGCTGGAATCATCTGGTGAAGAGAGAAAAAAAGAAAATACAGTACAGAATTTAGTGACGACAGATTCTTCAGAGCGGATCGTGATTAATCTGCAGCTGAAAACGGAGAGGGAGAGTGGAACAAGTGGGCCTGATGAAGACGTTTCATCACCATCTGAGAGCAGTTTTGTACAGTGAGACTGTTTTCGCACGATTAAGTGTTGTATACAGATGTAATCATGCCTTAAATGCAGTTAAGGTGGAATGGATATGAAGCAGGAGACTGATGATGTGTTCACGGTGTCACTGTACCATTCTATAATCCTGTAGGGACTGAAGAGAGGTGACAAATGAGAAACAAGGACATTAAGATGTTAGCAGACACCGAAGCCACCCTCCTTCACATCACCATATTCATAAAATCGTCAAATAATAGAATAAATAATAATTTGAACAGTGCAAATCACAGCGTTTAGACTGCAAACCATATTCATAAAATCGTCAAATAATACAATAAATAATCATTTGAACAGCGTTTAGACTGCAGGTTAACATTCCTCTCCATGATTTAGGATTATTTTTGATCAATGTGAGGTGTAATCCCTGATAAAATGATTGTTGACGTATGAAATCTCAACAGATAAATCAATTTTTGCACTCGCAGTGTATCGAATGTGAAACCTCAACTCCACAGGTGAACATCGCACACATGGACCTCAATGTCTCGTGTGAAAAATGTTGGTTTTGTTATAAAATACCTGGCGCCAAAGTAATTATACGCTCATACAAACCCACTTACGGGGAGTATATTCAATTCTTTGACAGCGAGACCTTTAAACACTGGAGACCTTCATGGAAAATGACAACATCCACGAAGTGGAGGTGGATTTTTTTATTTTCTTTTACCCTCAATGCTGTAAATGTCTCAATGACACTCCTGAGTATCATATATCTTTTCATGTCATGCCGGTAAATCAGCCAGGTTTCTCATTGATTACTCCAGAGATACAAACATCAATCTGGACCTTTCCTGCAAGAACTACTTCAAGATGGAACCACAGTATTCGAGGGGCCCTGGAGCAGGCAGCCGGGGAGGCCTAATTCACTGCAACAGTGGTCTGTCAAAATACATGAAGGGGGTTTGCAGTTAACTTAGGTTGAACCTGAGACTTCAACCCAAACCCCAAACCTGACGGTAGTTACTGAGGGACTGGACGGCGAACAGCTTGGACCACCTGCAGAAAGTACAGCAGTGTGTTTGTAACTGTAAATGAAGGCATTCATCATGTCGGTGCTGACGTGTGCATGGGTTTAGGAAAACAAATGGCCACCTGGGATCTAAAAAGTATTCATTTTTCTCGATGATGGCATGGAGACAAAGCATCCTGGAGACTGGTGTGAAATGCAGACTGGGTGTGTCCGTGCGTGTATGGCTGTGTTATTCGGCTAAATGGGAACCTGAGGTGTTGGTATTCCTGTGGAACTTCGCTCCTCATCGCTCCCTCCCACTGTGTGCCCCCTCCATCCCTCCTTCCTGCCACATGCACAGTATGTACCGAGAAAGGGCACGGTGTTTGAAGCCAAAGTGCATGCGGCTCTGATCTAAAGGGGGAACGTGGTCCAGGACTCACAACAGCTTTTCAAAGTTGTACTCCCTTGTGCAAGCCTTTAACCCTAACTTGGCAGAGTCCCCGCAGAGGGAGGCCGGACCTGTTCCACTCTCAGAGCAGTACAGAAACAACAAACCAAACATTACAGCGTGACCTTTTCAGCTCCAATTGTAAATGTTTGCCATTAAAAATCAGCAGCGCCGACATGGAGACAGACAGTAGGCTTTTTAAACATGAAACTAAGAGCGGTGGTAAAAGTGCTGTGAACAGAAACTGTATCATTAAACTGTCATCGTTGTGTCATGGAGACAGCTTTTTATCAATGTTGGAATTTTCAAAATGGATTTAGTTGAAGATGGTTATAGTGTAATATTATGAATGTAACAGAGTCACTAACTGTATATGACAGAGGGCCGGAATTTTTCTGGACAAACACGTTGGGGGCTGGACACTCAGATATAATGGAATGAAAATCACATTTTTGTTTGACATTATTATTTGATGCTGATTTTGGAATCTAGTCATGGGCCTGATCAGATAGGTCAGTGGCTTGTTTTTGGCCCACATGCCAACGGTTGATAACCACTAGTGTAGATGGTTGTCTGAAAACCAAGGGTTCGAATCCAGCCAGTTTATCCTTGAGGCAACTCTAATGAGCACCAGCTGCTAACTCTACCCCAGCTTTTAGGAGAATATAATCTAATCCCAATCCCAGATATAAAGATGTAGGTAGCAGAGCATCACATATGAAAGCCAACTGTGTCTTTAGGGATCATTTGTGGGTTATTCCGGGTTGGGTTAACTTGAAAAAAGTAATATAAGAAAAGTGATTTTCTCATAAACTTTGAGTATTGGCAAAGAAAGTAGCCTGGACAAACAGGCTTTAAAAAAAGATTTCAAAAGACCTCAGGATAAAATGTCTCCAAACACTGTTTAGAATTCTGATACTATCATATGTCCTCAAACTAAATATTGCTGTAGTTTTCTTTAACATGGGGGAAAGCAACTACTGATATTCCAGATCTTTTGTGAAACACGACACTGAAGTATGATGTATTACTGTTTTAAAACGGTGAAAGTCTGGAGAGAAGCCCTGCAGAAAATCCATAAACATGGTTTTCTGACATTTGAAGACGACAGCGTGTTTTGTTAGACTTGTAAAATCTCCAGACCATGGGAATGATGTGAGTCGAGGTGAGACTACAAACACACGATGTCACACAGATGTCCAACTGACGTCTGCACCGTCACATCAACGGTTGAAGAGGAAGCTGTGGACACGTGTGCGGTCTGACTGACTGCAGTGTCATTAACACCAGGATCTTGTGAAAAAAACCTCATCACCAAAGACTCCTGCTGGAAAAGTCATTTACTTTTATATTTTGCTTTCATATATTTATAGGGATGTGACGGCCATTAAAGTTGTCAGGGAGCAAAGCTGTAACAGCATCAAACTACACCTCACATATTGGCCCATGTTTTAAGCTAAGGTTTTTCTTGATAGCTTCAAGGCTGTTGCTTTTAATAGCCTTGCTAGCTACATAGTATAAACCAAATGTTTTCTTCAGATCTTGCTGCGAGACATGACAATATTTCATTATTTGTATGTCCATCTGGATACAGATTTAACACGTTTTTCTACTTCCCTGTTACCCTCACTCAACAACAAAACAAACATATATACATATATACACATATACATTACCCTGGTTAATCAAGTTTCTTTTTTCTCAACCATGAACTTTGTTTGCTGCCTGCTTACTTTTATTAGACTTCCACACAGCTCTTTTCAATCACTTTCATCTCCCACTTCCTCAGTTTCCAGTAAATTACACCTGGAGTAACACAAGCACTCCCAGGATTTCTTTCCACATCATTTCAAACCCTGATCTTTGTCTTCAATTGCACTTTTTTTTTTTCTAAATCTGCGGGGGTAAGTTGTTGGACACAGTGCTACATTTCACACATTTACAGGCTCCCTATCTTTCTGGGAGTGTGTATATTTGTGTGACCCCTTCCTTTATTTACTCTAAGGTCCGTAGAGAATGATTGGACAACAGCAGGTCCAGAAACGTGAGTCCAGTAAGTGCAGAGGTATGAACTGTACGTGTGTGTGCCTGGAAGTGTGAGTTTGTCCAGGGGACCAGTGTTTTTCTACAGGGTCGTGTCCTTCCAGGTTTTAATATAGAGACACTGGATATGTGGACACAACCCCTGTGTGTGTGTTGTGTGTTTTAACTCATATGTTAGGGGGAAATAAAGAGATGTTTGTGTCTGCTCCATGACCAGTAATTGTTAAAACAACAGGTCAATAACCATCATGGTATACACTACTGTTGTGCATCAGAAAAAAAAAAAAAAAACGAGGTATAAAACACCATTTTATCAATAACTAATGTTTGCAGGGTTAGCTTTAGCCAATCGTAGCTTGAAAAATATGTCAACAGCACAAAATAGTGCAAAATTGACCTTCGCAGGGTTAGCTTTAGCCAATCGTAGCTGCAGCTAACAGCACAAAATAGTACAAAATTGACCTTACTTTATCTTATCCATTATCTATGTTTCTGGATTGATAGCTGGAATAGTGTACAGGAATTAAAGACAAAAACCAGAAAAGAGAAAGATAAAAAAGAAAGTATTTTAGAAAATATATTAATATTTAATGAAACCAACATGATGTGTCTGTGTATATTTTCCCCTTCAAAATGAATCAAGTGTGCTGGATTGAACCCCCCAGCGGGCCGGCTTTGACCTGCGGGCCGTATGTTTGACACCCCTGATATAGCATGTTCAAAGTAAGGTCCCATCAACCTGACATTTGGTTGGTTTGGACCAACCAAAGAAGGCTGTAGAGAAGTATTTTGTAAAGCCACATACAAATACCACGAAGACAATACCCAGAAGTTCAAGTTCTACTAGTTCTCACTAGGACCCTGATTATGTATCTGCTATAACATTCTGGTGGAGGAACATAGATGAAGAAAACACCACACTGAGGTGAGAGTGGGATTCTTAACCTAACTATCTGGCCTTCTACTGTAACTCTAAGAGAACTTTGATTTCTGGTAAATAATAACCCAAAACCTAGATCTGTAACAAAAAACCTGTGGAACAATTCAAAATAATACTCTATTATTTCATTTGTTCAAAACAACAAAAAACAGTGTTGTGCCTTTCAGCCTCATGTTTTGCTATTTGGTGGTGTAATGAAAATACATTCTTTTTTTGGGGGGGATTTTGTTGCGTGGTTTACAGCGCTACACACTTTGTCATTGTAAGAAATAATTAGAATTACATGCTGCGGCTCCTGAAACAATTATCTTCACCGCCGTGTGGAAACCTTCTGTCTGCAGCAGGGTTTGTGTTTCAGTTGTTATTAGCGGCTCATTTTAATCCTCTGTGGACAGTAACTGTTTAATTCAGC